GTACATATTCCTCACCATGGCAAACTGCAGACTATTACGTGACCGCTGCTGCACCCACACATTGTGCAGGGCTATCTCCATCAAGTCATCCACATCCTTCAGCGCTGAACGCGTTGGGGCCAAGTGAGTGAACTGCCCTATACTCATACGTAACGCGTTAATCTCCCCCCGTAAACGTGAGCTTTCTACTAGTAGGCTTTGTTTCTTGGAGTTAAGCACTTCGATGTGATCCGAGGCCTTTTGAAGGGTCACGGATTTGCTGGTCTTATCGTCCGTGTCTGGGAGTATCTGCTGAAGTGCAGCTACTCCGTTCTATAAATAGATGGTACGGTATTGTTGTCATATATAGGAATACGGTTAGTAAACGTCGGCAGTGCAGAAGAAGAGTGTATAGACTTTCTGGCGATGTTGTCCATGTCTGGGAGCAACTGCTGGAGTGCGGCTACTCCGTTCTATAAATAGATGCAAGCGTTCTGCTGTTGTTGTCATATACGGGTAAGCTGGACCGTGTGAGTAGCGTGGAGTAGAACATATAAATAGATACATCAATGTTGTGGTCCATTTATGTGTCTTGGAGTATCAGTTAGAAACTTCCGGGCCGTTCTATAAAAAGAACTACGAAAACGGCAGTCGGTGTGAGGGAGATAATGTGACGTGCCGTAGTGTACAAACTGCTCTAGTTGACTTCCGAGTATAGTTTTACCTACACGTGAACATCTGGATGCTAATAGGGATGTAGATGAGTACGAGTTATATACCTACCCATACACATCTATATATAGATTCGTATTCAGCTACAGATGGATCTGCGATACATCTATGCATGAACGTATACGCGAAGTCACCTATAGATACGGAAACTCAGTCTAATGATATCTTGATGCTCATGCGATACATCTATAAATAAACGTAAACGCGAAGACACATACAAATACGGAAACTCAGTCTAGTGATACCTTGATGCTCATGCGATACATCTATAAATAAACCACCTATAGATACAGAAACTCAGTCTAGTGATACCTTGATGCTCATGCGTTTCTTGCCATTGCCCGCCATGAATGGCTCGTTGGGTCTAAAAATAGACGCATTCTGATTGGCTGGAGTAGACGTGGCGGCCTGGGTGTCGTCCAAGCCTTCGTCATCGTCGCTGGTTCCTGAGAGTGTTCTGCGGTGCTGTTGGTATTGCGCTATCAAACTTTCCCTACGCTCTCGTGATGTGATTCTTGGATCTGGTTATATATATATATATACATAAATATAGGGATCAATAACAGTAAAGTGCGGGTATGAGTGTCGAATACATACATGCATAAAATAAAATGAATTCAATAGCAATCAAACTTTGTGATG